CATTGAAGTGATGCTCACCAAACTGAACCTGGCAATTGATCTCACCCACAAGTTTCAGTATATCTCCAGAGACATTCTTGGCGACATGCTCGGTCGGCAGAATCTGTGGGCAACCAAGTTTGCGCCACGTAGTTCGGGAAATTACGGTGATATCTGATGCCGTATCCAACTGAAGACGAATACGTTTGCCGTTAATATCTAGTGTTATGTACTTACGTTTGCTGGCGAACTCGACTTTGGAAGTAGTGAAAACGGTCTGTACTCGAGGAGATTGTTTCGGCTTGAAACGACTACTTCTGTTCCTCACCGAAGGATTTTTCTGCGGTGTACAGTAACCCTCCTTATGTCCAAAACGGTGACAATTACGGCATTTATGCTTCTTGAAAGGACAGAACTTGACAAAATGCCACGAACCACAGTGCCAGCACACTGAAGGAGGTTTAGCTGAATTTTGAGACTGACGTTCTGTGTGCTTAACGGTGATCGGAGGACTTTTCACTGTGTTAATCGAACCAAATTCAGACGACTGTCGTTTGCACTCCACCATAGCAGTATCGTGCTTCAAGTTGATTAAACGTAGGCATTCTGCTGTCACCATTTGTAAAGTCATTTTCGGGTCTTGTTCCACAAGTGACAGAAGTCGAGTTCGTATGTCAGTATCTTCTGGGTTCTTCAACCCACAAATAAAAATCAAACACTTGAACTGATCTGATGTCATTTCGTGTGGTTTGAACCTTTCACATTCCTTGTTCACTTTGCCAGCGTAAGTCACATAATCATCGGAAGGCATTTTTGTCAACTGAAAACATTGATACCGAATATTAAACATGGATGACTGTTCACCAAAGATTTGTGATAAAACGGTGACTGTCTCATCGAATGATAACTCACGTGGGTTCTTAGGCAGAATGAAGTTAACATATCTGTTGTGCTCAACAGTACCAAGTTTTCTTAGTAACAATCGGACTTTGGCAGCATCATCAAACATGTAGCATTCAATACGGAAGACGTCTTCGTAACGATTGAACCATGCATCAAATACGAGACCAGATATTGGATCGTAGTTGAACTCACTGATAGAATTTGAGATGCTTTCATATTTGTCAGAATGAGATGTCGATGGAACTTGAATGGACAGCTTCTGAGTGAGAGCTTCGATTAATTTTAGTTGAGCTGCTTCATTCTGAACTTGCTGCTGCTGCAAGATAGATTTGAGATCGTCCAGAGAGATAGACATTGTAATTGGGTTGTAATTAACACAGTCAAAAATGTTATATAGTTGCGCTGAACAGAATAAAAACTGTCGTCGTTTGCTTGTTATAACTGCAATGAATTAAGGTAAAACCCCGTCGCCAATTTGTTATAACTGTAGGGAATTGAATGAAGACGTCTTCACCTTATTCTGTCTGCGCCTGAACTAATCTGTCTATCTGCTCGTCGTACCTTCCGACTTAGTAAAGCACGCAAATATCAAAAGACAAAGGCTGGACTGTGACTGTGTATTGAAGTGCAACAACGATAAAGAAAGCCATGGTATTTATACATTTTACAACAATATGGACAGCTAACAGCATTTGAAATAATTTATCTTAATAGCCAATAACAAAGTGCGTGAGAGATGATAATATACCATATGTGCGAGGTTGACAGTCAGTAACAAAATGTGTGGGAATGATAATATACCATATATACAAAATTAGCAGTCACTACCAAAATGTGTGAGAATGATAATATACCATATATACAAAATTAAACAGTCAATACCAAAATATGTGGGATCCTATCACCTCCCCCCGTAAAGAGTGTAGGACTTGCTTTTTGGATCTATTTGAAAAGGTTTCGGAGCTCTTCTTTGTCGAGTTGACCTTTGCGTGGTACTGGATAGAGCGTGATCTGTGTGTCTGACACATAACTGTCCTTTTTCATTCGTACGATAATGCAGCAAGAATTTATCCAAAATTTCTTCTGTTGTTCCCTCCCCCTTCGCTTTTGCATAAGCACGCTTAAGGGTGTCGACGAAACGTTCAGTCTGTCCATTCGATTGGGGATGATACGGGGGGCTACGAATATGCTGGATGCCAAACAGTTTGCAGCAACCAAGTTTGTCCTGGAAGACAGAAGCGTGCTTTTGACGACGGCGTTGCAAGAGAGATTGATCAGATACATCTCCGGGAACAACGTTGTGTGGTGAAGACGAAACATTAGAGCATACTGAATTTAATGGTACATTAAAGATATGGAGCTTGTCTAACCAGTCAAGACCAAGCAAATCCAAATCATGGTAGTTTGTAACGTAACATACACCATTGAAGTGATGCTCACCAAACTGAACCTGGCAATTGATCTCACCCACAAGTTTCAGTATATCTCCAGAGACATTCTTGGCGACATGCTCGGTCGGCAGAATCTGTGGGCAACCAAGTTTGCGCCACGTAGTTCGGGAAATTACGGTGATATCTGATGCCGTATCCAACTGAAGACGAATACGTTTGCCGTTAATATCTAGTGTTATGTACTTACGTTTGCTAGCGAACTCGACTTTGGAAGTAGTGAAAACGGTCTGTACTCGCGGAGATTGTTTCGGCTTGAAACAACTACTTCTGTTCCTCACCGAAGGATTTTTCTGCGGTGTACAGTAACCCTCCTTATGTCCAAAACGGTGACAATTTCGGCATTTATGCTTCTTGAAAGGACAGAACTTGACAAAATGCCACGAACCACAGTGCCAGCACACTGAAGGAGGTTTAGCTGAATTTTGAGACTGACGTTCTGTGTGCTTAACGGTGATCGGAGGACTTTTCACTGTGTTAATCGAACCAAATTCAGACGACTGTCGTTTGGACTCCACCATAGCAGTATCGTGCTTCAAGTTGATTAAACGTAGGCATTCTGCTGTCACCATTTGTAAGGTCATTTTCGGGTCTTGTTCCACAAGTGACAGAAGTCGAGTTCGTATGTCAGTATCTTCTGGGTTCTTCAACCCACAAATAAAAATCAAACACTTGAACTGATCTGATGTCATTTCGTGTGGTTTGAACCTTTCACATTCCTTGTTCACTTTGCCAGCGTAAGTCACATAATCATCGGAAGGAATTTTTGTCAACTGAAAACATTGATACCGAATATTAAACATGGATGACTGTTCACCAAAGATTTGTGATAAAACGGTGACTGTCTCATCGAATGATAACTCACGTGGGTTCTTAGGCAGAATGAAGTTAACATATCTGTTGTGCTCAACAGTACCAAGTTTTCTAAGTAACAATCGGACTTTGGCAGCATCATCAAACATGTGGCATTCAATACGGAAGACGTCTTCGTAACGATTGAACCATGCATCAAATACGAGACCAGATATTGGATCGTAGTTGAACTCACTGATAGAATTTGAGATGCTTTCATATTTGTCAGAATGAGATGTCGATGGAACTTGAATGGACAGCTTCTGAGTGAGAGCTTCGATTAATTTTAGTTGAGCTGCTTCATTCTGAACTTGCTGCTGCTGCAAGATAGATTTGAGATCGTCCAGAGAGATAAACATTGTAATTGGGTTGTAATTAACACAGTCAAAAATGTTATATAGTTGCGCTGAACAGAATAAAAACTGTCGTCGTTTGCTTGTTATAACTGTAATGAATTAAGGTAAAACCCCGTCGCCAATTTGTTATAACTGTAGGGAATTGAATGAAGACGTCTTCACCTTATTCTGTCTGCGCCTGAACTAATCTGTCTATCTGCTCGTCGTACCTTCCGACTTAGTAAAGCACGCAAATATCAAAAGACAAAGGCTGGACTGTGACTGTGTATTGAAGTGCAACAACGATAAAGAAAGCCATGGTATTTATACATTTTACAACAATATGGACAGCTAACAGCATTTGAAATAATTTATCTTAATAGCCAATAACAAAGTGCGTGAGAGATGATAATATACCATATGTGCGAGGTTGACAGTCAGTAACAAAATGTGTGGGAATGATAATATACCATATATACAAAATTAGCAGTCACTACCAAAATGTGTGAGAATGATAATATACCATATATACAAAATTAAACAGTCAATACCAAAATATGTGGGATCCTATCAGAAACTGAAGGAATATTGAATGTCCAACGGCGGATCCAAGTGTCATGCTCACAATTATTGCTCATAGAGCTCATAAAACCGTCTGTTTGAATTCAAGGCAGTGGCAATATTTCCTTTCAGTAGGGTAGTGTCAAAATTCTAAAACTTTTTTGTTAACTAAGCACGAACTATTTATACTCTTGGAAAAAATAATTATTTTCCTCTTTCAATAAACTCTTCAACTGTTTTTATATGTTATTCAGCGGGGTAGTAGCATTGTAAACGGCAGAAGATAAGAGAAATGTTAACGGACAATTTTAACCACATCAAACGTCGGCTAGGTCAGTGGATAATAGGTTGTTCTGATTGGTTGGTGATTGGTCCAGGTTTAAATAAAGCGATGAGAAGTTATCCAATGAGATTATTTCAGAGCCACCGCATACACTCAATCCAGATTTTAAGAATAAACACCTCTACCCCTGCAGTCATTGTCTTAAAATGTTGATTTCGATGTTGGCTGCTTTCTATCAATCTGCCTCTGTATGCCACACACCCCAGTATTATTTACATTGAGCAATTGTCGAGTATCTAAATTCAAATAATTTATAATGACGTACATGTTGTATTTCATATACCCTACTTATATTACCAAGTGGAACATAGGACTACAAGATAGATCTTTAAGGTTTCGGTAGTAGTGGTTTTATTTTTTTTCTTACAGTGTGGGCTTGGTAACCCCACACCCAACTTTCCCTGCTTACCGACCGTATTATCGGCTTAGTGTGGTTAAGGAGGGCGTGTTGGCCAAGGATCGAACCCTGGACCACGTGAAGTGTGGTTGGTGAGCGTCCTACCGCTGATCCACTGATGCACATTTTATATAACTGCTAAGTAATAATGAAGTAATAATATTTCTTTTTATTTTGAATAGGTCCACTTTCATATCGTCCCATCGCATAGATGTGATACAGAATCGATGCAAAATGCATTCTCATCAATGCCATCCTATGAGGTAAGTAACCAATTAGTACATAAGTTCAATAGGTGTGATTGTTTTTTCTCGGTCAGGCACTTACTTATTTAGTTTAAATTCTTCTAATCAACAGGATGTTTATTGTCGTCTCGACAACTTTCTGGGGATAAAGGACTGTTTTTGTTTTTATATTAGGATTATGAATATTTCTATCATTATTTCTCATAAAGAAACCATTGCTTTGCATTACTGTGGTAGAAATAGCATTCAGCATTAATGCATAATCCTGTTTGTGAAGCAGCAAAATACCTGCACATAGGGTAAACGTAGCAACATTGTATTCCATTGAATATTGGCCCTGGCTAATTCCTAATTTTAGTTGATATTCTATTTGCTCCTACATCTTTATTATTAGTATAATTTAAGCATCTTTAATGAACTGTAATTCCATTGTGGTTTTACTTTACAAATCGATATTATTTAAAAGACACTAATATAGTCATTTACTACTAATCTAGAAATATTCTATGTATATAAACATGCATATATAATTGTAGAGCCAGAACAGGAAATTATCGAAAAGGATATTCTTTGCTCAACTATTTTGTGTTTTATAGATATCTGAAAGGATAATTGAAGTGTTAATGAAGTTGTTTAATTACTAATTACCTTGATCTATTCGAAATCTGATGATATTAGATAGTTGGAGGCAATCGGAAGGAAGCCTTCCACCTAGGTTCCGTGCTAGTTGGCACTCACCAGTCAGCAAGGCACGCGTATCTGCAACCTTGAAGAAACTCATGTCCCTTCTGTGATTCTAGCCCGCGTCACCCAGTGACTTCTGAAGTCAGAGACGCTACCACTGAGCTATTCAGGCTCGCGATTGACCTCCTATAAGACTGTAGTGGGTAGTTTGATTGGACACTATTAACTAGTGCGACGTGTTTAGTCCTTTTTTGGTGCAGACTGAATTCTATCAGTCAGGTTTGCAATGTGACCACCATTCTAGGTAGCTCGCCATCATGGGTGATAACGTCTCTGACTGCAGCTCTTACTGGGTGACGCGGGTTCGAATCTCAGAAGGGATATGACTTCCTTCAAGATTGCAGATACGCCTTACTGACTTGTGAGTGCCAACTAGCACGAAACCTAGGTCAGTCAGGCAAGGGTTGCTGCCGATTGCTTCCAACTATCTAATATCATCAAATCAATGTTCACCGTGTTGGTGAGCCACCTAGAATGGTGGTCTCATTGCAAACCTGACTGATAGAATTCAGTCGGCACCAAAGAAAGGACTAGACACTTCATACCAGTTACTAGTATCCAATCATATTCGAAATCTGCCTGTGTTGGTATGAAGAGACTTGTTGCTTTCTTGACGGGGGTTGTTAGTTGGCAGAGTACACACCACAGTAGGAAAACTAGCGAAATGATCTATTTTAGAGTAACTCTAACTTCTTACTAAGGATCTATTGACGCCTATCTACGTGATAATCTATTCGAACTACATCGTCATCATTGTACATGATATTTAACAACAAAAACAGGCAATATGGATTGCATAGCTGAAGTACCTTATTATTCTGAAAGCGATGCACTTGTATTAACTTCTTCACAATTAGGATTTTTCCCGTTGACTGATTGAACTGAAGTGTTCGACCTCTGTTGTGACATATCGGCTCCTTGTGCGGATGCTTCGACGATGTCTTACGATTTAACTCGAAGTAAATTTGGTGGACTGTGACTGGCAGTTGAATCCAGGATACGCATTTCCCGACCGATAGCTGTTACCTTGACGTGGTGGTCGGGCTTGCACATCGCGATGACCACCCAACAAGCTACACTGGCTGGAACCAATGTTCCTGCAGGTCCTACCTACCGTGCCAGGAAGGCTGTTAGGATAGCGATTAGACTAAAAGCAGTTACCGGCATAGTGTAAGAATGGTCAGTGTTAACCAGATGTTCAGTTATCTCACTCCTCATAGCAGGAATACTGCCCTTTCGCGTACATGCTGGATAGTGTTCTTGAATCCTCTCAGACAGGATTCGCGTCGAATGACCGATGTAGCTAGCTGGCGCCACAGCGTCAGGTGCACCGATATATGCACATAGAAGTGGTCAGATGTGGGATCTTGTCCTTACGGCTTCTGCAGATCAGTGAGTGACTGGTGAACATAGTGTTCTTAGCGTTGGTGCAAATAATGTTCTTCTCAGAGATGATGTGATCCTTCTCTTGCTAAATCTCTCTTGAAATCCAAATTCATGTAGATTTCCTTTTTCGGCGCAAGTGAAGTTTCATTTCTCCAAATTTTTGGTTTGATACTTTTGTCAATTAATCTTGGTGGATATCCATTTTGTATGAAGATTTTTCTCAAAATATCTAATTCTGTTTCTTGAACATCGGGTTTACAGATGCGTCGGATACGAGTGGCAAGGGATTTAATTAAATTCCGTGTTTGTTGAATGAGTTGAATGTATCTAGTTTGAAGTTAGTCACCTTTCCCTCCTCCATCGTCCTTGAAGACATAACCTAATGTCTTTCCACTGTCTTTTAGTGAATAGTTTTGAGATGATTTCTCGAAGTGAGATTGAGCATTGCTTGAGATCTGTGGTTTTATTATCAGGATACTTACTCACCGGTGAGATAGTGTTTTGATCGTGCTATATTTAAGTGGGTTGAGAGGAGCTGAGAAACATGGTGTGTTTCAACTAAAATCAAGTGTCTTCGTAATAATAAAGCAGCCCTAGACTCTATACCTTATGGGTTATGGGTTTTCACTGTCGAAGAGTATGAAGCTCAGACGAATTAGATATCCAGTCTCTGTTGGTTTTTTTAATGATTATTTACTTGATATTAGTTCATGACTTCTTGCCTGAAATGTGCTCATAAATGAAGGAGTAAGCGAAGTATTCATAACTGAATTGATCTACTCTGCATAAATTGATTAAAACACTAAATAATTTTGTTTCAAAAATTTAATCAATAAAATTGGCTGACTATTATTTGTACAAACATATTCGAATTATCGGACTGGAATTCATTTCATAATTTATTCCATGTCAAAATTTTAGATTATTGCATGATTTGTACAAAGGTCAATGATTTTGTAGAATTAACATTCTAGTCATACATTTGAGCTAGTGTACATATAAGCCCAAATCGTCATTTCTTCGTTCTGTTTCCTACAACAGTCAATGTTCTATTCAAGTATTGGTGTTTTTAGGGATTTGAATGATTGGTTACAGGATTTCATCATGAGCTGACATCCGTTAGAGAACCATCGGAAAACCTGGGAGTATACTGGACAGCTGTCTCCTCCGTTTTAGTTTTGGGACTCTTCAGCGAAACACAACCACCGCCAGGGTTCGAGCCCAGGACCTTTTGGTTACAAGGCGGTTGCGCTATGTCGTGAATCGGCAGAAGTTGGAATTCATGCACTGATTGGCAATTGGGTCGGGTCCCAGTGAATGGCTTAATGGTCTATGAACTAGCTCGCCTTGCAACCAGAGGTCCTGGGCTCTAACCCTGACGGTAGGTGTGTACTTCCGATTAGTCCCAAACTAGGCTGACGAAACAGCTGTCCGGTTCTCCCAACCAGTTTTCCAATGGTTCTCTAACTGATGTCAGCTCATCATGAAATCCTGTAACCAGCTGATGTCCTAAGTCGTAATGTTTTAAATTATGCACTATAAAAAGTGGTTGATATAGAATTACATTTTGACGAAGCGTTGGAATTACTCATTTCAGTTTCGCTGAGATTTTACAAATATAATTTTTTACAAGTGTGTACATTTTGACTGTTAGAATATGCCGCCAATAAGTTTAAATTATTTGTCAAACTCTACTTGTTCTCCGTTTACTTTGTTGGATCATGTTGACTAACCTCTATTACATATAGTCTTGCACGGATGCCTCAATTTTTGATGTGATGTGAGTTGTTGCTGATAGTTAGATAAAGAATATGTCGTCCGGAAGCATTCGAGTGAGTATTGTTTGTCCGTGTCCCACTGCAACTGTGCTCTTGGTAGTTTTCGGGTTTTTAGGTTCAAGGATAAGAACATTTTCAACTTGAATTTCACTACTTTATTGTGTTTCCCTGAGTTCCGAGGGAGACATAGGGCTTCAACAGCATATCTTCACTTTGTCCTATTCTCTGCGATCTTCTTTGGCTGGCCCCACGATTGCCTATAGTCTCTCATCTCCTCCTCCATGACACCCTTAGATACTCCACTCGTCGTCTGCATTCAGGTTCCACTCAAACGCTGGCCTGGCGCGCGATGTCATTCAATTGCCTCCTCAGCGTTTCTACTATACATCTTCATTTTCTTTGGCATATTGGTTGAGCAATAGATTCTGAGTTGATTCGTTTCCAAAGTTCCTTGTTGCTAATTCTTTCTGGCCATTAGATCTTCAACATAGAACGAAGGCAGCCGTTGATAAAAGTCTGCAACTTGATAGAAATGCTTTTCATGACACTGGTTAAGTTTTTGACCCTTGGGGAATTTCACTACTAGTAACCACCAAATAAATAACCTTCTTAGGTATTCGAATAAAGCAAGAACAACAATGATTTGTGCAGAATAATATGGTGCCATCATCTGTTTCGTTGGCTTCTCATCAGCTGGCTGCGTATACAGCCTAAATAAAATACTATTGAGTTTATGTGCAGAAGAGTTTTAACATGCTTGCAAAGTTTACATGATGTCAGTTGACAGGAAGTTCTGGACTTAGTGAACACAGTGCTCAGCAAATTACGCTTATGTAGTTTTTACACAGGGAGTTCAGGTTTAAGCAAAGTTAATGCATACATACAATGCTAAAGGAGTTGCGTAATAAAGACAAGAGATGCGTAAGATGATGAGTAACCAATGAATTGAGTTCAACTCATATCATAGAAATACGAGACAAGCAAAGTCACACTATATCAGGGCGGAGGATGATGTGAAAGCCACAGATTACGCAATCAAATTTAAGGAGAGAATAAAGACATCCAGATACCAGGACGCGGGCAAGGAAAGACTGATGACTGTTTCTTTCTGAACACACAAATCAGGTTTCAGGCGTTTGATGGAGATTACCTCAGAAAACTTGAGGAGAAGTGAGCTTTTTTGTCTAACGGTAATTTTCCAGGATTTTGAAATGTCCACCTTGTGACATCTGTATATTGGTGAGATGTTTAGCAATATATATGTACAGTCACCTAGAAAGATCTGAAAGCAGGCAAGGTTGTGAGAATAAATACAGCTTATTAGTGTAAACATATAGTCAGTCAGCTGCTATCACTAATACCCATAAACACAGCCGGTTGCTACTACTAACTAGTTGCCAGAAAATAAATGTAACTTCTCATCAAAACATATTTTAACTGTATTATAATCACTGGTACTAGTGTAACAACTGAATAATAATAATAACAGCTTGAAGACAAGGGCCAGGCAACAGATCGTTTATTTAGGAAATCAACAGATATTTTAATAGATTTTCATGTACATTAGTATAGATTATTGTGAGCAAACAAACACAGTCTTCTGATTGGTGGTTTCTCGTTGAACGTTAATCTTTCATCTTTTTGTGGCCGTTTATTGATGTTCAGATTATTTATCTGCAAATTGTATCCGCCTACGCAAAGTCTGCTGTGATTGGTTGTTGAATCAGTCTTTGTTCTTATTTCTCTATGACCAATATTGGGGACGTAAACATTGACGTTAATTACTGTCTACCAATATGGCTAGCAGTCAGCTCTCACCACACCAGCACACAAAAAAGATAAATACAACTTACTAATTTTACGAGTTGATCACGGATTGATATCAGTTAGAGGACCATTGAAAACAGGCAGGGAGTACTGGACAGCTGCTGTTTCATCCTAGTTTGGAATCATCGGCAGTACGCACCCAGTGGGATTCGAACCCAGGACCTTCCGATAACAAGGCAAGCTCGTATACCATTCAGCCACTGGGACCCGATTCAATGGCTCATGAGTTCTAACTTCTACCAATTCGTGATTTAGCGCGACCCCAACTAGGATGAAACAGTAACCGTCCAGTACTCCCTGGTTTTCAATGGTTTTCTAACTGATATCAATCCGTGATCAACTCGTAAAACATAACTAATCCTTACAAACCAAACTATAGAAACTTACTAATTTGTATGTATGTATACTTGTGTGCAATTACATCCTCTGCTGTTCCGCTTCCTACATTGTTAACTATCATGCTATCATCTATAACATACCAGCTTCACATTATCATATTTGCTTTCTGTTATTTATTGTCTTACAACTTTAGGTAGATGGTGTTCTCTTTTACCATGACGATGTTAATTATGAACCTGGAGCAACTCCCCTTGTAAATTGGTTAAAGCCTTACATGCTACCAGAATGGTTCCCCAATATTAAATTTCATTCCGATTTTATGAAGAATATGCCTAGTGACTATACTGATTACCTCAATGAAATACGACAATATGAAGCCAATAGTAGTAAATCGTTGAAATCCTTGTCGACGACTTCCACACAAATGATAATGTGAATAATAATAAATAAATATATATATATTTTTTTCTACAAACTTCTCATTTTATTTTCACTAGATTTCTTGATTGAATTTAGTGTAGCGAAGGTAACTATAGGTGTGTATACCTGCGATTACTTTAATCTGAATGCTTGTTGATGTTTTGCGTTCGCTAATCGTGAATTCTGTGTAGCAAATGAATATCAACGGTTGGCCTGCTAAATTTAGGCTACCGATATCACATGCTGAAAATTCTATACTTGTACCAAAATACTGTGGAATCAAAATTTAAAAAAAAAATATTGGTGTAATCGTTTGAACAAGCCTACGCTCTTTACCTTTTTTTAAAATCTTTCCTTTACAGGGAACATACCACCTGAGGTTTACCACAAAAAAGATTATATCGATTATTCAAAAGAATAGTTACTGAACAAAGAATATTCTTTTCGATAATGCCTCCTTTATCAGGCTCTACAGTTATATGTACATAATAGTAAATGAATTAGTGGCTAAGTAAAGGTGTAGCAAAAACCATCAACGGTTTGATAGTAGATCACCTGGTTCAAACCGGCAACAAGGCCAGCATTGAAGAATTCTTCTTCATTATCAACCGGGTACCAAATAAATTGCCAGAAACATCCGGGTACCGCATACTTCAAACAGCAGAGGCTATCGCATGAAACAACCGGTGCTTCGTGTGCAAAAGAAGCAAGTCCAGCTAGTTACTACTACTTTCCTGCTGGGCTTCAGTAGAAACTATTAATTCATGAGTTTTTATTATTATTTTCCCTAATCTGAGTGTCTGATATTCATTGTGTATTGTTATGTTGATGCTATTGAACTGTAATCCATTGATATTATTATTATTATTATTATTGATTCGATGTTATTTAAACAACATGAATGTTATTAATAACACTAATTCATTCATTCACTATAATGTGTATATATATAACTGTAGAGCCTGATGTTGAAGTTATCGAAAAGAATATTCTTCGTTCAGTAACCATTCTTTTGAAAAAAAATTTAATGGGCATTTTTAGTCAGTTCATATCGATTAATACACTATGATAGGCTGTTATGAGTTTAACATAAAACGTTTTACGAAATCTCTCTGACATTCTCAACAATGCAGGAATAAAAGTGGTTAGCATTTAAACCACCGACAAACTCAATTAGAATTAAGCTTTGTCGGTTGAAGGTTCCTGCGGAACCAATTAAACAAAACAATTCAGTTTATCTAATACCCTGCAATGACTGTCATGTCAAATACACAGGGCCAAGTAGTAGAACGGAGTCAGTCAGACTAGCGGAGCACAAAAACTTATTTTATTCTAGATTAGTTGAATAGTCCAAGTATACCACTCACTACATGCAATTAAACACAACTATTCGACAGGGATGGGATAAGATGAGTTTTAAAATCTAATGTAGCATGGTGGAGGCACAGATTGATAACAGAAGCTTTGTTAATCGAATCAACTGCAAACATGTGTAATAGGAATGATTCAATAGCTGTCCCAGACATCTGGAAAACTATACTACCCTTACGACAAATAAGGTAGAATAAAGAAAGCTATAAAACTCAAGTTTCTAAGTTGTGTGATATGATTATGAACAAATAACTTTTTCGAAACGTCATTCAGTAAATAATACTATTTCATTGTGCGATACATCTAATAAACAAATTAATATGGATGTAGAGCGTTTGTCAGTAATAAAGTCTATGTAACTACTCACCCCAGGCGGCAGTATGTCACTGTTCAGTGATAATCGAACTTATCACTATCAAAATAGCAGAGGGACGGACGATTTGCAGCAAGACTGAACGAAATTTCATACATTTTAGTCACATTATGATACCAGTTGCCACTCACTTTTCTCAGTTAGCCCTAATATCTTTAGTTATTCATCTACGTCAGAAAACTCATGTCCAAATTATTTAAACATGCATAATCAACCAGAATTTTAAACTGATTCTCATTAGTTTCCACTCAAAGTAAGTAACAAGTGTTGCCAGTATTGGTGCATTTCGCGACAAATCTGTTGTGTCTGCATCAACAACGATCATTCCATGCAAGAACTGAATCATAGGAATACCGATGTAATAGTAGTGTTACGATTGCAATCAACTGTTCGTGGTTAAACTACCAGTGGATATAGGTCACGCATATAACAGGAACACACACCAGTCATAAGTATCTTTCGAAAAGCAAATTAAGGCTAGAACACACGCCTACGCTTGAAATTAGGCAATAGTATTGATATTCTTTGAATATCCCCCCCCCCCCATTTTTGACAAATCATCCCTTAGGCTAATTTTGTAGAAGCAGCTATCCGAACAGATAAAGTAAATTATTCAACACGTGAAGTAAGCTCTATCGCCAGGCGGATACATCCTTCACTTCTCAGTAACATTCCTTTGAGTAGAATTTTCATAAATCTAGTTTTTACGACCCGCACATGGAAATCATATGCCTTCGCTGACATGCCACCGGGTGATTAGTTGCAATACATTTTGTTGTATTACTGTCAACTAAGCCATTTGTGAAGTGATCGTAAATAGACTACGAAATTGTAAACCAAAGGCTGTACTAGCAGGGTACACAATAGGGGTTGAATCATGTCTTTAATAAATGAGCCAGAATTACAAGCCACGGCGTGTTCGTACCCTAATTTGAGCGACGGATTGCTGCATATACGTTAATTGAGTTAAGTTGAAGTCCTTTTAAGTGGTCAACTTTCAAGAGAGAAAGTGAGTAGGATATTCTGGACACTAAAATTGTCCTTTGTAAGTCGTTCTGAAAAGGTAAGGATCAGGAGTCCTCGAAACTCAACCAAATATATTTGATTCATAGTCGAAAAATGGTAGCTTATTAATGATCCGAAGCTGTAACTTAGTCTTCACTAGGGTCTCATATTATATCTAAATTATATTTTTAACGAGACTTTGAGGAGGCAGCACTACCTGAAAACCCCTAGAAGACGCTGTTTTGCAGGTAAGGGTGGTTTCATATATATACCACTCATACTGAGCAGTCATCGATAGATACAATTGATCACACTGATTCTTATGTTCAGTGCTTTAGAACGGATGGCAAAACTCCCATAGGTATTAAGTTGTCAAAACTTATATACAGAAGAACTAGTGTGAGCTGTATCGCCTGTTCTTAAGATAATATGCGAACGTTAATCCTTACTCTCGTAGAAAGAGAAGACCAAGACGAACACCAACTTTTCTGTAGTAAAGCTTCGTAAACGATAATTACACCGAACATCCCGACCTCACGTTCTAAAACCTAGGACAACTGAATTATGAAATAAGTCGGGCTAGCCAAGCACCCTATGTTTGTGTGCACTTATACGAATCCCAGAATAAACGTCGAAAAAAAGCTTTACTACAGATACTAAAAAAGCACGAGTCACTTAATTGATCATATATTTTTGAAACAGGCAATCAGAGTTCTTATGAGCGATAAAATGCATTGTTGAACACCAAAGCTCAACAAATTCTTTTTAAGAATTGTTTGGAATATTACTGACAGGTACAGCGTTAAGTTATTGCTGGGCGCATTCTGGTCGTTCTTCAGCATTTCGGTTACCTTTTGATCTGTGTGGAGCACGGTTATGTCTTCCTCCTCGAGCGGGATGTGACTGGAAAAGTAACAGAGGAAAGGTATTTATTAATCGCCAATAATAAGCCAGTGTAAAGCATTAAAAACAATTATCTCGCATAATAGTTGAGGCAGGATACACTTGACATTTGAACTTCCCAGGCAAAAGTTGCTTTCCTAACAAAACCGTTAATTCGCATGTTTGCAAGCCAATAAGTAAGCATAACGCGAAACTGAAATCCAATGATATGATATCCCACTGCTTACATCCTATTCATGATGTTAGTAACTTGAACCAGCGTCGTCGTCGTTAGTACCCCACTTCATCAATAGGAACCGCGGAATGAGCCATAACTACAAGGGACTTCATGAGATTAGGCGTTGTTATTCCTATTGATTAAAGTGATTCTCTCATCAATGAAGGATATAACCCTATTCGTAACGCTAATTACAGCAGGATAACTCGTGGACTTTATCCATCCTACTTCTTTTAAAAAACTACCAATGATAATATTTAAGTGGAGGATACACAGTACATAATGATTTAGACTTACATGGGAATTTTCTTTCTCATCCTACAAAAGAAGACAAAATGCAGGTTAAAGTAGAAAAAGCTAAGACGCAATTAAAAAGCATAGTGAGATCAATCAAGCTGTTACATGAGCAATGGTCGACTGTCTTAAATTCTTAATAACAACCTTTTATACTCAGGAGTTCACACCGTGAGTGCAAAGAATTATAATTGAGTTATTTTTTCTGATAGACCGAAACTTGAAGGTAACTATACTTTCAAGTAATAAATACTGTAATGTCAACTTACTTCGTCGTCATCATCATCATCTTCATCGTCGTCCGATATATCTTCATCATCGAAGTCGTCGTCATCGTCATCATACTACAACGTTATAGATGCAATACAACTTACCTCTGAATCGACTGCTTCACCAGTGAAATAAAGTACTGCTCTGGGGATGACACTCTCTCTTAGAAATTGACCAAGTTTGAAATCTGATTCCAGCAATAACTCTGTGTCCTCATCCTGAAAAGATTATAATGCAAATGGAAAACCCACCAAATCATCAGATAGACCTGAAAATAATAGTTAAGTGCTTTCAAATTGACATACTTTCTGCAGGAGGTGTAAAGAAGTTGAAGAAGGAATCTTCCCGAACACTTTTCGTTACAGTTCTTTTAGCGCCTCCAGATTTTCGTTTTTGAACTTTCTTCACCAACTTCACAGTTACATTTTTCCCTGGATTCCAGTTTATCACACAACTATGCAAATAAATTAGACTGTACATTGACTCACCCTTTAGCACGAACAATTTCTGGTCCTTCATATCCGAAAGGATCATCACTTGGGATTTCATAATTGAAATAGTATTGTTTGGTCAGGATAGTGTTTGTGAAATATTTGTTTGGGGAAAAGTAGAATTCAAGTGTGAATCCCTATATTGATTAGTAATAACTCAAAAGCCTACTGGTTCCTCGCCTGTATTGAGGACGCATTTCACGTCCACTAGGTGATTAAGTATGTCACGGTCGTGTTCCTGAACCATTTCATCAAACAGAGAAATATTCTGCAGTGTTTTTAACCAGAAGTCTGGGATTCCCTTGCTTTCCGCCTCAAGAGCTACAGGACATTACACAAGGTATACTTACTCACCTTTGTCCTCTGTCTCGTTTGATACTGTGACTTTTTCTTTGACGTTCTCAGAGAGATTATCAACATCTTCATCATCAGATGGCCAGTCACACTCTTCATCATTCGGTTCAACATCCCCGGTGACAATACCTCGTCTCTGCATGGTAACTTATGAACCAAAACAACTAACTTTGGAAAATATTTGCTGGTGCTGAACGTCATATTTAGCTTCCAATTCAAAGAGTTCCTTATAAAACTGCGAATCAATTTTCAGTGTCTCATACTGCAACTTCTTCAGAGCACGAACACGTCGTTTAACCGGGGCAGGTAAACTAAAATATGAGTGAATAATAGAACTCACAGATGGTAATCGTGAAGAGCACTTATTTTAGCGTCTTCAGATCTTGATTCATGCAGCTCTGCAGAGTCTGAAATGTCACCACCTGGTGGATATAACTCGTATGGTTTCATGATCCATACTTACCTTCCTTTGGAACTCTACAGTGAAAAATTTAATAAAACAGAATGCAACGAACCCTTTGGTGCCGTCCATGTCACGTTACTGGCGTGGTCAAAAGATTTGTGAAGCACCCGCGTTCGAGATGTAGGTAATACAAACCGTCCAAGGTCGTTCCAGTGGTTACCAATTTCCGATCATTTTTTGAATAAAGGGTTAGCATCTGGAGCAACTTGTTAGTCTTTCAGAGGATAAGTGCGGATGAAGACTTGTTGCAGTTTCAAATAATTGACGATGTAGCCCCTAAAATGCCCCCAATTGTGGCAGATGATGCAGTGATTTTCAAACTACTGTCAAAGCTGGAGACAGACAAGTCACCTGGACCAGACGGACATCACCTTAGACTGCTAATCTCCTTGGTGAATACAATATACATTCCATTTACGGAGATTTTTCACATGTCTCTGACCCAGGCTATGTTACCCAGGGACTGGAAAGATGCATTGGTAGGCCGCATCTTCAAAGAGAGGAAGAGACAGTTAGTATCTAACTACTGGACTGTAAGTCTGACCTGTTTTATAGCAAAGGTGTTAGAAAAACTCATAGAGGATCAGCTCTTAGCTCATATGGAAAAACATGACTTACTGGCAGTGGAATAGCATGGATTCCGACCAGGACGATTCTGCTTGACAAACTCATTGTTAGCTAAGGAAGATTGGGTCTAGGCCAGAGATAAGAACCATCTGCCGCACTTTGTCTTTATCGATCTTATTAAGGCATTCCGCCTTCCTAATTAACTCAAACGTTTTGGAGTAGACCAACGCTTATGTGAGTGGTTTAGCGACTACCTGATGGATAGAAGGCAGAAGGTAAGGATTAACGGTGTACTGTAAGGGTGGAAAGCAGTAATAAGTGAGGTACCTCAGAGAGCTGTACTTGGTCCCCTGCTATTCCTATTATACGTAAATGAAGTGCCGAAAATTTTTGCCTCATCTTCCTTACTATTTGCGGATGATAACAAGATATGGAAAACCGTAAATAGTAACGATGATTGGTTGGTACTACAAAACGATCTAAATAAATTAGCTGAATGGGCTAACCTTTGGAGTGTATTAATTAATCCCAGGAAAAGCGCGGTAATGCAACTAGGTCATAGGTCTCATATGTCGTGCTCCCAGGGGGACAGAACCGCCAGACATTAGGGGACAAAAGGACTTAGGAATTATTGTAAGCCATGACTTAAAAACAACGGCAAATTGTAATCGAGCCGCTGCTAAGGCTTTCCGAATGATATGAGCACTTCGAAGGGCTTTGAAACTATTAGACGAGGGTATGTTCCAAGTACTCTATCCAAGATATGTCAGAAGTCGTCTGGAATACTGCATGCAAACAGTGAGTTCACACCTTAAAAAGGAAGCACGTATCCTGGAAGGAGTACGGATGGTAGGAACCAAATTAGTCAGTGGTATCTCACATGTTCTTTAAAATAGGAGGACGTAGTATTTAGATCTCTTCACATCACCATACAGAGGGAAGAGGGGAGACTTAATTTTGGAATACTGCATATTTAACGGTGATTTAGGGATTAACCTTTCAAACCTCCTCTCCCTCTACGATACATTTACGAGGTCATCACAAAGTTGTTCAAACCGAGGTCGAATAAAATAAGTGTGGAATTTAGATTCCCTTACAAAGTGGTCAACGAGTGGAACTCCTTATCCGATTCATTGTTAACAGCTCCATCGGTGAACTCCTTAAAAGAGAAACTGGATCTCTACAGAGATATTTATCACAAGGATTAACATCGGCGACAAGAGCCTTCCATCCTTGTAATCTGAATCCGGGATTAGTTGACCGAGCATAAAGGGCTTGTAGCCTGTTAATCCTTTCTAATAAGTTTCTGTGTTTGTTTGATCTCTTCTTGAAGTTGTCAGTTGAGGCAGATGATTCCATTTCTTATCAAAATCTATCCTAAGAGCTTATGATTCAGTGGGAGAACCAGTACTGCATGGCAGTATATTTCACCCCTGACCTCTGAACTCTCCTGCAATGTTCTGCGAAATGTTCTGATCTGGCGTGGAAGAAAAATAGGGATCTGATACACAGTCGTTCCCTAGAATTTTGAACGTTTTAGTGAGTCCTCAACTCTGCCCACAGTATTATGAAAAGAAGGTGTTCAAACTGTTAAGTCTTTCCTCGAATGTTGCATTAGTTATACCAAGCAATACTTGAAACTTAATCAGACTATCGATCGTTTCGACATTTATGAAAGAAACGTAGACGACACTTTCGTCACCTGCGATAATAACGTATTTCTTGATGATATCTTGTTTGATTTCGACAACTTCCATCCTTCTTTACAGTTCACCACAGAAAAGGAATGTGAACTGAGTATTCCGTCTCCTGATGTGTGCCAAGATACACGAAATGACGGATCTCGCAAAAGACAAATCACCGAAACGCACATGCAGCGGATAACTAAATTTTATGGATAATTGCCTGTCTCCAGAAAAAGGAACCTAATTCATTCGCTCTGCCTTAGGATAAGAGACATTTGTCACTGGAGTTGAAGATTGAACGATCAATTCATGGTTGTTTGCTCAAAACCAACTTCCCCAATTTTCGCGGAGGCATCAATACGACAGTCATCGTCTCATCGGTCGCTGTTCAGAAAGAAGTCAGCAGTAAACCGTCAGAAGTAATATTGTGATTTATTATTGTAATATTTGTTCACAGACCTAGGTGGAAACATTTTTTATATGATGGTGAAACAATAAAGAATCCTCGAGTCGTCAATTGGTGTTTTGGTTTTTTCGTCCGTTATAACTAAGCGTTTCTGAGAAACTTCAAGGAACAGCGTGAGCCCGAGCGTAGCGAGAGCTGGGCATTAACGGTTTATGAGACGTGGCTGACAGTTTCTGACGATGGAAACAGATCTGGCGGATTCAAACAGTTGGTGAAAGTTTGGATAGTCGCCGTTCATTTTTCCTGGTGCCGGTCAAGTCCTCTTTGAACAAGCAATATCTGGAACTTTTTGGAATTGGGTCAAGTTCAACAATGCCTGGGTCAAAGAAGGGACAGAGTGTCTTGGATGCAAACAGGAAAGTAAGTCATGGTGACTTGTCTGTTAATTGTAACGATGTGTCTGATGTTAAGCATGACATGGTTGATGTTACTGTTTCGCCGTTCAGGGATAATAGGAACATCAAACTCCCTAAATTTGAACCACGGTGTTTTGATGGAAACCCGGCTGATTATTTACAATTTGTAAAGGAGTTTGAGATCATGTTGAGTGGTTTTTTATTAAATGATGAATTGAAGTTAATGTATTTGATGAGATATTGCACTGGAGATGCTGCAAGAGCTATACAGTGCTGTAAGTTTATGAAGCCAAAAGAGGGCTACTACGAGGCTATGAGCATATTACGTCAAAGGTTTGGAAGACCTTCGATGATTGCAGGGAAATTATTCGAGGCTGTTAAGGGTAATGGTGGTCAATTACAGGATGACTCCCAGGCACTCACTGAGTTTTTAGATAATTTGCTAATTTACAAGAATGGAATGATTTCGATGAATCGCACGAGTGACCTCAACTCGAGTTTTATACTAGAAGTAATAGCAAGACGTCTACCTACTCGACTGCAAAGGAAGTGGGTGAAGATGAGCTCCCGTATGGAGGATGAGGGTATCGAGCCAAAGTTTGATGATATCCTGAAACTGGTAAATACTAGTGTCAATCAATCTATGAGCAAGTTTGCCAGTCTATTGAATCTCACCCCTAGAATAGAGCAGTCTGAGGGTAAAATGCAATCATTGATGACGAGTAGGCCTCAGAGAGGTGGATATCGAGAAGGCTCCATGATGTCTAGTAATGCATATAGACCTAGTGAGTGTAACAGGTTTCGTAGTACATCCTCAACAGATAAGTTACAAGATGCAAGACAAACACGGTTGTGTTTTACACGTTTGCAAGAGGTGCATACAAAGGTGAACTGTGAACCAGTGAGCAAGTTCAGTGATAAGCTAAATGTAAACTCCAGGCCTGACTCCGAATTGTGTGACGATAACGGTGCGGTGAAGAAGTCTGTAGTTGCAACTGGTAAGCCGTTGTTGAATAGAGTGTCACAGAATAGAGTTGCTGCTTCAGAGTGCAGTTCTGACCCTACAAGTTTACAAGGTATTACTAGTCAGAGTGAAGTTATAAAACCTTATATGATTTTTGAGGAGGAACCAAAATTGTCTACTTCTGTTATTAAAGAGTTTGAAAATGATGAAGTTGACGGTAAAGTGAATATTCGTGATAATGATCATGATACTTCACAGTTGTCTTTGGTTGATCATGATGAGATGAGGGATATGCCTACTACTGCTAAGTTAAATAAAGGTTCTGTACTACTACAACGTGAAGTAGAATTGAACGCAGATGCAGTTCCAAAAGGTGTGCATACTTGTGAGACAGTCAGTGTAATTGATCAGCGTGTAGCCCACCTATCATCAGATGATAGTGCTAAACCCGAACTAGTAGTGAAAGACAGCAGTGGTGGTAATCTTGCAGTTGGACAACTATCTGAAAGCCGAACAAGAACAGCTTCTGATCCACCGCTAAGTTCATCACCTTGTGTCACTCAGTCATCGTTGGTGCTGTCATCCACAATGAAACAGACACCCATCAACTCAAGTATCTTGTGCAATGACTATGGTAGTATCAGTTCGTTTGAAAGGACGAATATCAATGGTCAGTTTAGTGAGGATAAGCCAAGTGTAAAGGAGAGAGTAATTGTTAAATTGACTTGCACGAATAAAGGCATTTCTAGTTTCAAGTTACTATTTGAATGTTATTATCTTTGGTGTAAATTACTCTGTTTCTACACTTGGTTGATGAGATATGTCGTGTGTTTGTTGGTCATCTATATTCTACGATACAATGACATGGGCGTGTTGCCGTTCAGATTTGAGGATATAGCTGATAGAAGGAAGTTAGCAAATGAACTCTGCGACGATTTTCCAACCTAGGGCGTCAACCTGAGAAGGGTTGTAGGCGTACTGCTGTAAGTCCTACAGTTCTTCAAAGGGTAGCGCATCAATGAGCAGTCCAATGTGCTTGGTGTGTGATTTTGTACATATGTTCATATTGTATATACTGAATTGATATCATCTGTCATCTAGCTGTTGGTAATTCTGTTT